TACATTAAATATAAATTAATGTACATTCAATAATATGTTTTTTCTATAAATAATAATTTGTTACAATAATATTATTTGAGTACAGTGAATTAATATTACGTGTAATACATAAAACATAATTATGTTACAATAAGAATCAATATTAATTACTAGGGTATATATTCATTGTCAATGAATATTTGTATTATTTAGCTACAATTTATTAAATTAAATATAAAATTACAATATCTTAAGAAATAATTATAATAATTATGCAATAATATAAATAAATAAATACAGTTAGACAAATATCTAAAAGATTCATTTTGGAAAAATTAATCAATTATTTATTATAATAATAAAAATTACATATCATCTATAATAACGTATAGATACTTGAAATACTTTTATTATCGGTAATTATTTTAAATAAATTATTTTTCGTTTGTAAAATATAACTACATTTGTAATAAATGACATATTATCTACATTGTTTACATAAATTACAGAATATTTATTATAAAACATTTAATACAACGGGTACTCAATAATATAACCTGTACGTTTGTATTACTAATTAATTTACTTATTATTTAAGACATTTATATTCACTATTATTATATAATATTATTATAATGTTATTATTTAAAATTTTCACTTAATTTATTAGTTAATATAAAAAACCGGATGAATATTAGAAGCATCTAAAAAATATTTACATGAAAAAATTATTTAATAAAATATAACTTTAATATTACACTTACTTTAAATGCAATTGCCCTGGTGATAACATATTGATTACTACACGAAAAGCCTATCAATCGGTTTCTATCGCTCACACGAGACATACATTCAGTTAACTGTAAAATTAAAATATTAAAAAAGTTTTAAAATATTATTCATGTAACATGATTAATAATCATAATATTTACAAATTATGACCACTACCTTTAACTTAAAATTAATAAACCTAGAAAAATTTAACCTAGTATAAAATATATGCAATTCACTATAAGTACGTGATATGCCCCTATTAATTTCGGACGTAATTAAGTTCAACATTAATATAAATCCAAATATAATAGCAAAAATAGACATGAAAAATATCCTGGTAATTTCCGTGACGTTCTCAAACATGACAACCTGTAATGCAATCGCTGTGACAGGTATTGACGTATATGTGACCGCAAAGTAGACATTCCTCCAAAACATATTATGTGAGTCAATATCCAGGCACAATTTATTATGATTTATAACTACTTTATGCACATGATCACACTTAATAAAAACACATTTTGATTCTAACCTTGCTAAATAATTAGTGAAACTTTTAACACGATACTTCAAATAATAGCAAACCATTAAGTAATAGAAGAATATGTAAAACAAAACTCTACCAAAAATATAGCACATTATAAACCCTAGTATTCCGGATGCAGTTTCTATAATTATGTCAGTTCTCACAAACAGTATAACAACTCCGATGGTAAATAATAATGAACTCCAGTCCCATGTAATTATAGCTAGCTTAGTTAATGAATAAAAGTAATGAATTTTATTCATATAGTTATCAATCAAATGTTTTTGTCTTAAACCCATTGATTGAAAACTTTTATACCCATTGATGGCTGAGATTATGTCCAACCATTTGTAATCACATTTATTACGAGTGTTTAATATGTATATCAATATTATAGTTAGATTATTGCCCATAATCGCCTCGATATACATAAATTCCTTGATTGTAGTGAAGTATTTAGCTAGGTCAAAGTAATGATAATAATGTGGTATATTATGATTTGCAATAAATGTATACAGGTAGATCAAGTGTCGACACAAATTAAAAATTGTTATTACAATTAGTAAAAATACTTTTAAAACTTGTGTATATTTTTGCTTGTTAGTTATTATTTTGCCATTTACATCAAACCTGTAGAAAATCCAATATTTATATAAAGGATACTCAATATCATCCGGATTAACACTGCTTGATAGATTTATTATATTGGACATGATTTAATAGTTAAAATTATTGATAATTAAAAATGTAGTATTATAACATAAATGTTCAAGATTCGTTAACAAAATACAAATGTTTATAAATGAGATTAGGAATTAAAACTTATTTTTCTAGTATATCTAAAATTATTTGCCAATAAATAATATATTAATAGCATTTACCCTGAAATAAAACTAACAAGGTCTCTTATTATAATGAAATATATGTTAATATTTCACACAACCTCGAAATAAAATTATCATTTAGTATTAGTTATATTTTATAATAATAATAATTATTATATATATATATATATAATAAAAAATAATAATATATAATTAACACGTGTAATAGATATATTCATTTTGTATAAAAAAAATTTTATGTTGAATATTGAATAGTACTTTTAAATGAATACAATGTTACCAATAATACAATTACAATAGCCATAACTACATTAAACATAAATTGATGTACTTTCAATAATATGTTCTTTTTCTATATATAATAATTTGTTACAATAATATTACTTGAGTACAATGAAATAATATTACGTGTAATACATAAAACATAATTATGTTACAATAAAAATAAATATTAATTACCACGGTATATACTCGTTGTCAATTAATAATTGTATTTCTTAGTTACAATTTATTAAATTAAATATAAAAATACAATTTCTTAAAAATTAATTACAATAATAATGTAATAATATAAATAAATAAATTCAGCTAGACAAATATCTAATAGATTTATTTAGGAAAAATTAATCAATTATTTAGGGATTAAGTGAAACGACTAAATTAATTTTTAAAGCTAAATAGTAATGAATTAAAATTTTAAGTTTTTCAGCTTAAAGTTTTAAGAAAATTCATTTAACATGAAAAACATGTTATGAAATTAATTGCCTGATATTTATTTATATGAAAATATATTTTTTATTATTTTCTCAGAAATGGATTTAATACTAATATTTAAACTAAAACTGTTTGAGCTGGAAACCAAATAACTATTTAAAACATAAAGTCAATTCGCTTACATTTATGACTAAAACTTCAGTAATCTTATAATATATTTTGTAAATGTCACATATTTTAGCAAATGCACTATTAAAGCAACATTACCCAAATGTATTTTATTTTGCATTAGACCAATTAGATATAACATTGAAAATAGTTTTTAAAATGTCAATTATTTACAAAATAACATTTATCATAACATATTTACTACGGCAATATTACTACGGAAATATTTAAAAAGCATATACATCATCTATTAGTTTATGAAATGTTATCTAATTTAATAATAATAATAATTCATTAATAACATAATAAACAATATTGCGTAAGGTAAATATGTCAAACCTTTATTATTACTATTTTATTGATTCAATTTTTTAAATATTAATATATAAACCATTTAATACTCATTTCTTATATTTTCTTAAATTTGATAAAGCTTACATTAATATAATACATAATAATTTCGATAAGCATCTTAAATAATAAATAAATAATTTTGCAGATTATCGGAAAACTTCAACAAATATCTAATAAACTGTATGTAATATGTAATAATAAAATAATACTAAAAATAAATAAGTAATATATTTTTGAAATAATTTACTACAGTACTTTACAAAGTATAATATAAATTAGTATAAATATACAGTACATTGTTTATTATTATATTAAGTGATCATAAGAATATTATGTCGAAATTAGGGCTGCCAACTATTTTCATGGCCAGGGAGGACAGATAGTTAAAATTGAACCTGGCTGAACAAAATTCTTTAAAATGTTTAAATATTAATATTGCTATAATATATCTGAGAATATAGATTACAGCATAACAATTATACTACCAAGAAAACTTAATTTAATACATAATGTTTGGGAATATATTTATTATATACGGCATTAATGGTGTGAACCATACGGTTAAGTCTATAATAACGGGATTTATAATAACATCATTCAGTGGTATTATAATGCATACAATTCTAACGCTATTTAATTACCAGAATATTCTTACGTTATTCATTAAAATATTTCACTTATTATCAATTATAAGTGTATTCATCTCGTACACTTTTGTGAAATTCAACACGCAACATATATTTGAAATGAACAATGAACTTAATAAGTATTACATGAAACATAAAATTAAAACTAATAATAAATCAACAATTATTTATATCGTACTTCACTCAATTTTATATATAGTAATGAATGTGATTATATACTATGATTATAATGTTGATGAAACATTTGGAATCAACCACTTTATTGACATAAATTACCGTGATCATGCCCCACTGACATTAATATATACAACCGGCTGGATCATATTAGTTCAGATATTATATTTTGAAATTTTCATTAAATATACAAACATATTGAACATTATGTATAGTAAATTGCTAAAACTAACCCGGTACGCTAACTCTACACATTTATATGAAATATCTAATTGCTTAAAAAATTTTGAGATTGATGATAAAAATTTTGCTAGTTACATTAATCGTATATTGTATTTGAATGTATTTCTAATCTTCAATACGAATTCATGTCTAATATTAATGGCTTATGTTATATATTGTACTGAAAATTATGTAACATTTTCTTTGTTAACTATAATTATAATATTACTGTTACTGTATTCATTATATATTTTATTTGTAACACATACTAGAAAGCACATTAAATATAAAGTTAAATTATTATTATATGAATGGAAAGTTAAAATTAATAGCCATAATGTAATATCGTCATAAATACATAATGTAAAATATTTATTGTATTTAATATAATAAACAATTTAAATATTATTTACTATAAAGTATACAGTATATACTTGAATAAAATTATTTGAATAAAGTGAATTAATATAAAGTTTTATTTATATTGTTGTATAAACCTTAATTATATTACAATAAGATTAACTGATTATTAACTTGTTTTCATTAAAGTAAATTATTTTTTAAAATTTACAATTCGTTAGATTGAATATAAAAATACAAGTTTTTAAGAAATAATTAAAATAATAATAATATTATAGTATAAATAATAAATTCATCTAGGCATACATCAAATAAATTAATTCCAAGATCATTATCATAAAGTCATACCTTTAGTATAGTATAACATTAAAAATAAATAAATATCAAAATCCAATAAATACTATCTAGGTTACCATAGCATATCGCACAAATTAACCCTGGATCAAATAAAACTTTTGTCTCTCAGCACCAATCACCTTGGTTATACGTTTCAACACCTGTTCCGCCATTGCCAGCGTCTCATCGCTCTTAATAAAGCAAAACCTAACCAACCCTTCGGCCAAACCCTTATTATCCTGACTATAAAACACAGTCAGAGGCACACCCTGTACTCCCTGGGCGGACAGCCACCTCACAAACGCGAACGTCTTTCCCCTCTTATCGTAATACTCGTCCAAATCTAACCTATCAATTAGGGCGCGACAGTCGGCCACCATATAATAGCCGCCCTCCGGGACCATGGGTTTCAGGCCCAACTCGGACAGCATGTCGTACATAACTGTCCGCTTTTTGTCCAACAGAGCGGACAGTTGTGTCCAATACATGTCTTCGGGTCGGTTTTGCTCGAGTTTTTCCAACTCGAGCTCAAAGGCTCGGGCGGCCGCCTCCTGGATAATAGTCGGCGCCACGTATATGGAGGTCACGTGCGCCAGGATTAGGGCGTCCCTTATGGCCGGGTTGCCTGTGATAGCCCACCCACAGCGCCATCCCGTGACGTTGAATGCCTTTCCCAGCGATCCGATGGTTATGGAGCGGTCGAACATACCGGACAGGGAGGCTATGGGGGTCGGGAGGCATATGGTTAGTATAGTTTTGGGAACTATTTTAGGTGTGAGTGACATACCTAATCGAAAGTGTCGGTTGCCATCGTAGGTGAGCCACTCGTACACCTCGTCCATGACGGCGATTACGTTATACTTTTGGCATAACTGTGCGATTTTCTCCAGTTCCTCCCGTGTGAACACCTGATGGATTATAAATGTCATATATTTTAGTTATTTAAAAAATTAAAATGATACTAATTAATTAGTAATCTAGTGCTATTAGGTCCCAGTTTAAGTTTATGACATTTATAAAAATTATTATTTAAAAATAATTTATTTTCATTTACAGTATTTACATTATAAACATACTTATTAATAAATGGTAAATATTTGCATAATTATTTACATACTAGGTAATTTCAATAAATTATAAATAAATAAGATAAACTATTAGCAAATCAGTCAATTAAAAAGCATTTATAAAAATACAAAACAAATAAAAATAATTGAAAACAACTCAATAACCACTGAATAGTTTTTGCAATTATATCATAAAAACAACAATATTTTCAAAATGATATCAAATGTTCCCTGAGCACAAATAAATCATAATAAATTGCGAAATAAACACATTTATATAGCAACCGAAATATGAATAAAAAATAATATTATTTAACTTACTTTTCCCAACGGATTGTGCGGTGTATTGATAATAATAAGCTTGGTCTTTGTACTGAACTTTGCCTCCAGCTCATTGAAATCCAACTCCCATTCATCGCATTCAACATCACCGGCACCGGTATTATCGACACGTTTTAGGGCAATATGTACGGGTACACCACCGGCTGCCCTGGTGATCATCGCGTAGCCATCATAAGCCGGGTCTATAATGATAACCTCATCGCCCGTATTAATCAACCCATAGATAGCGCAGTGTATGGCCTCATAGGCACCCAATGTTATCAGGATATTATCGTCTCGGATATCAGTGTCAATGAGTTTGGAGTAAAGTCTAGCCAACACTTTCACGAGTCGTGGATGACCCTGTTTATATAAATCATGTTCAATATCTGTCAATACGGAACTCATTTATTTAGGGTATAAATAGGATATAATTATCTTTGATATACAGTTAAGACATTAAATGAGTTTTACTGACAATATTTGCTTTCGTAAGCAATTTGTTGAGTATAAGATTTATCTAGAGATTATAGATATGAAAATTGTGCTTAACACTCAAATTTTGTTTTATGTAAATTTCATGTGAGCCCGGCTAGCTCAGTCGGTAGAGCATGAGACTCTTAATCTCAGGGTCGTGGGTTCGAGCCCCACGTTGGGCGCATACTTTTTTTGTTAAGTTATTCATATTTTTATCAATTAATATAATTGTTTAAAATTCAAAGACTACATAATTTTAAAGGTTACGTAACGTAATATTATATAACGTAATAAAACTTTTGGTTAATTAAATATTTAAAAATTATCTAAAATGATATACAATAACATGTTTCTGATTTATTTCGTTGTTATAAATTAATTTATCATTTAAAAATCGTCTATTAAAACAAGCTATAATGCAAATAAACTTACGGGACTTTTAGTGTACTGGTGCAGTGAGGGCTGACCATTGGCCACGATATCACTCATGGCGTCCATAATTGACTGGGGCTGGGCGTTAAAGTCGGGCATACCCATACCTAGATTCACTGGCTTATTAATCTCGGCCATCTTAGCGATCTCAGCCCT